TGTCTTAATGATTAAGCCCCTAAAACATATATAAAGATGAAAAATAATGAATGGGATTTTGGTTGAAGGTGTATTGGTAACAAAATTAGGAAGGTTGAAGGCCGTAAAATGCATTTAAACAAAGTGTAATTAGGTCGGCTGAATTAAGCCCCAACCTAAGTCATTCAATACCTTAAATTCAATTAATTAAAGTTACTTAATTAATTATATCATAATGCTAATAAGACGTAAATTTTAAGACGGAATCTGACGACGTCTTAAACGGGTTTTGTTCCAAATAACATATACGTATGTAAAAGAATGAAGTAGACGATTTTTTAAAATGACAGGACCTTTTTCGGGCTCTGACCATATAGTTTTCGTGAGATTTGTGAGAGTACTCATCTGAGCCCTTGGATGCCAGCAAACAGATGGGACTTTCACAGTAAAACACACCATACGTTCACATGAAAAATCCTGAAACTGTAACATCCTTATGTCAAAAGTCATAATCGTCAACAATGGATAGAGTCAGTAGTTGCTTAAAGTTTTAATTGCAACGATAGTTTTCCTTTACTTTTGGTTCCATGTTAATTAAGAGTTACACTTTTTAGGCCCGTTAGCCCCTTGGCAAGGCAAGCCAAGCCCGTTCATAGGACGGGTAATGACAAGCTGGCAAGTCCGAAAAAGAGGGTTTGAGTTTAGACATGTTAGACAAAATACCAAGTTAGGACCGGCTCAGGCCCGACACGAATTCGCAAATGATCACCTCTAGTTATAATGCATGTCCATTAATGGACTACCACAGTATTAATAAGACGTTTAAGTTTATAGAATCAATTATGTCTTAAATAAATAATACGTCTCTATCTTTACAAAACAATATGTTAAGACAGAAATGAACAACGTAATATAAGTCAAAAATAAATCGTTACATTTGTCTTCTTATAAGACTCTTCATTAAAAAAAATGTCATGAAAACGATTTAAAAACAAGGTTTTGTACGATTATATTGTAAAAAATGATAGATTTGAACAAACCTTTTGTTGTTTTTATCCTTTTAATCATATGTGAATAAACTAACAAAATGTATATTTTTGGTTCCTCCAAAACACACCTTTTAAATTTTCATCTAAATTACATGAACAAAGTCGATATATAAAAATACATACAACAACTTTTCAACCAAATTTCAGGAAACAGAACTTGATTAAGTATGATAATAGCAATAATTGAGTAAATAAAAATGATATATATATATATATATATATATATATATATATA